GGGAAGCTGCTGGTGGAGGAGAAGGCCAATGTGCTGGCTCGGGGGCCCCGGAACCAGACGGCGCTGCACCTGGCTGCCGCCAGCGGGCACTCGGAGGTGGTGGAGGAGCTGGTCAGTGCTGACGTGCTCAACCTGTCCGATGAGCAGGGGCTCAGCGCCTTGCACCTGGCCGCCCGGGGCAGACACGCCAAGACGGTGGAGACGCTGCTCAAGCACGGGGCGCACGTCAACCTGCAGAGCCTCAAGTTCCAGGGCAGCCACAGCCCCGCCGCCACGCTGCTTCGGCGAAGCAAGACCTAGTCTGCTGGCCTCGGAGACCGGGGCCCCGTGCGGGGTTTCTGTGCCGTTGTTGTGTTCCGCGGTGGGGACAGGCTGATGCTGTGCGGGTCAGCAACCCTCACCTTGTTGATGGGCTGGCGGCACTTTGACAGAACAGGCCATCAAGAAGTGGCTCTTGATTCGTGCTGGAGTCAGTGTGGGCGGGTTACCCTCCAAATGAAGGTGTTCGAAGGTGCTGATCCATCCGCCCATCAGTGTGCCGGTGTCAGAGGGACGATGGGTTGAAATCATTTCGTTGTACTCTTGCTCGGGAGGTCGGCCAGCCTCAGGATGAGGGGCGGGAGGAGCCGTGTCTTCCATCTTCATTTGCAGCAGCGGACGAGGCCACCTGTTTCAGAAGGCTTTCGTGGAATCCTTGTTTTATGGGACATTGTCACTAGATAACACAGTATCAACTGTTGCTTTAAACTTTTGAAAAAATGTTCATGTCCTTAGGTGGTCCGGTCTGTGAGCAATGTGTGTAAAGTGATAAGGCTGGTGTCAAACAGCACCGTGGCCGTGCCCGCTCAGGATGTTCTCAGCCGGGCCTTGTGGCGACCGCATGCTTCCCAGCAGCTGATTGCTCTCATTCATTTCCTGTTGCATAAAGTGTGTTTCGAACTCTAGAGCCAAATAGGCAAGAGTCATTTAAAAATTCACTTGTAACCTCAGTTTCGGACTCTAAACAGTATTACCTGGTTGGAGGGACCACCGAGCTCGTCGGCCCCTTTCCAGCTCTGGTGTTCGGTCAGGTGGTCGTCTGTGGGGAGCGCTGCTGTTTTGGGGTCTCAGAGGGGCCTTCTGACCCTTTACAAACCTCTGAGCTGTGTGACCCCCAGGGCGGCTCCAGGAGACCCCCCGGCCCCCGTGGCTATAAAGGATGTGGTTATCTGGCCTCTCGGTCATTGTTCTGTGTGTGCCACGTGGTGCTCCCCCCCCCCCCCCCCGCCACAATACTGTTATTAGAGTGAATTTGCTGCAGGAGGTGGTCCTGTGTGCAAACGTGCCTGTGGTGTGTGATACAGAGATTGATATTAATATACCATGTATGTTAATGTGAGTCTGGGGGCTGGATACTTCTTTTCTATGACAGGAACTATCCAGACTGCTCCGAGCTGGCTATGTTTTAATATGCCTCGTGCTTTTACTGTACCGTTTGTGCTCCTGTTGTCCTGATGTAAATAAAGCTAAGTTCTTTTCTGCTTTTGTTGAAGTCGGCGAGACTGCTTTCTCTTATCCACAAGCTCGAATAGTCTGATTTCTGAAAACCAGAGGTTGAGGCGGTCGTGTGTGTGTGTGGGGGGGGGAGTGCTCCTCCAGAACCCGTCCATGGGCGGGCAGTGACTTAGCCAGGGACATGCAGGGACGAAGGAGGGGAAGGGGGACAGGTTTCCTGCCTCCGACCTGGGCCCTGCCACCTGTGTGTGAACCGGCAGCGAGACGATCTAGTCTTGATAGAAGCAGCTCCCAACACCAACGTATTTACCTCCTTTTCAGTGTTTAGAATCCTTGTTTTCATTTGTTCACGTGATGTTCTGAACTAATTTTAAAGTCTAGGGCAGTTAGGAGACTAGTACAAAGAACTGGTGTACCCTTCACCTAGATTCCCCATTCCTTTACATTTCAGCTCATTTGCTCCATCTGTCCATCCATCCTCCCCACCCACCTACCCGTCCACCCCTCTAGCCTTGTAGACACTGTGCCCATGACCCCAAACACTTGTGTGTGTTTCCTAAAAACAAGGACTTTCCACTATATAGCTATTGTGTACCCATCAAAATCAAGAAATTAACATAGAGATCATACTACCATCTAATCCACAAATCCATTTTAAATTTTTTACTGTCTCAAAATGTCCTTTATAGGAAAAAACCACCACCAGCAGTAGCAGCTGACTTCCGTTCCTCCTCCCTGGCCCAGGACCTACTGTGCGCAGTCCAGGAGGCTCAGCCCCCTGTCCCTCAGTCTTCTCTTTCATACCTTGCCTTTTTCGTAGGAAGTACTGGCAGTTATTTTGCAGAATGGCCTTGAGATGTGTCTTAATTCTGCCCAGGATTTGATTTAGGTTATGTACTTGGGGCAGAAATACCACAGACATGATAATGTATAAAAATAACACTCTCCCTTCTCCCCTTTAAGTTATTTATTTTATGTACCTGGTTTTACAGTGCTTCATAGAAGGGAAGTGTCATGCCCCTCCCGTGTTGCCCTGGGCTGGGCCCAGGAGAGACGCGCGGAGGGGGTGCCGAGGGACCCGAGGCCCCCGAGCAGTAGCGCACATCAAGTGTGAGGCTCACTTTTATTTCCTCTCAGGCCAGGAAAAAAAGAGACAGTTTTGACCTAAAGTGGAAGGTCTAAGAGAAAAGCTCATGCAGTCCTTAAACCAGAAGCTGCTTTTGAACGAAAAAGCACTGGAGTAGGGGTCCGCGGGAAAAGAGGAAACGCAAATTCCCTGGGAAGTGAAGAAAAACGTGACGTGGTTAACCTATTGCTGTCTCCAGGCAGAAAGGGAAACGAGGGAGGTGCCCAGTGGAAGACGGGGACGTTAAGCCAAATGGCAGCGCTTAAGTGAGAAAATGGTCATAGGTCTTGATTCCTGGCACGAAAGGCTTTTATTTAAAAAGAAAGAAAAGCAAACCTGTCTTATTTCACAGGCCAGGGAGCTTACGTGGCACACTGCTGGGCACCGGGCTGGCACAGCCCGTGTGAGGAACACTGGCCAAGGCCACCCGCGGGGCAGGGGGATTCCTTGCACACGGGGGGATGGGCCATGGTGCACACATGTTGAGGATGATGGGGACCAACCTTGTGGCCGAGGAAGTAGACACAATATGGATCGGCTAGAACCACCCTGGGGAGTTAGACGGTAATTGGAGGCATCGGTGTGAAACGTGGTCCTTAATTAAAGGTGGACCTGTACATCCTCGCGGGTTACACACGCTTCCTGGGTCTGCCTGCTGGGAGGGCCTGTGAGCAGTGAGGCCCCGGGAACAAGGTGCACACCCAACGCCAGGGTCTCGCGGCTCCGGGTCCTGCCAAGCGTAGGGATTGGGGGCCCGTGCTTCCGAAGGCCCCGTGGCGCAGAGGGCAGCGCCAGCCAGCCTCCTGGGCTCTCGCCTTGACACTGGGCAGCACGTGACCTGTGTGCTCGGGCTTCCTCGGCAAACAGCTGGTTCACCACGTGGCCGCTCCTCTCCCAGCGCCCATGAGCCAAGAGTCGCCATCTTCTTCCAGGTCGCTGAACCCGATCCCTGGGCCTCGGTTTGCCATGGGCATTTCGCGGTGCCAAGCATTAGCTACTTACTTCAGAGACGTGGGTGTGGTGGGCGGTGTCACCGAGGCCGCCCGCAGCAGGAAGGGAGCAGGCATTTCGGGAGTTGCCATCAGAGGAGAGAATCCTTGGCCCTGAGTTTCCATTATGGCGGCTGGTTCTGGAGGCCTTGGACCCCTCGTCCTGGACAGTTTCCTCTCTGCTCACTCTTTCTCCCTTCCTGCCCTCCCTCCACCCC